GAAGAAGACTGCCTCCTCGTTGCCCCTGTGTTTGTCTGTGTCAGCCTGTGTCTGCGTGTCTGTTGCCGCTGAGGCTTGCAATCATTGCTTAGATTATTGTTTTGCGTCTCGTTATTTGCTGTTTCCATAGCAAAGTGCAGCATGCTCATCGATCGCCAAGTGCCCGCGTAGTGTAAAGTGCCGATGAGGGTGCTAGTGTTCAGTGTGCTCAGACAGTGCTGCACTCTACCTCCGCTTCAGCAATAAGACGCACAAGTAAGCGAACCGGAAAAGGGCCCTTGCTCTGAGATTCACAAGACTGCTGGTTGACCATTTTGCCTTCCCTTTCCTTCCCAACAGATGAACCAAAACGAAATCGAAAATGTGTTTGTTGCCATTCGAGTTCGACCGTTTAGCCAGCGAGAGAGTAAACGCAACGCCAAACCAATTGTCTTTTTGCAAGATAAAAAGTCGATAGTGTTGCGGCATCCCGAAGATGGCGAGATCAATAAAAAGTTCACCTTTGATCAGGTGTACTGGTCTCATGACGGTTTCACCGAGGCGAACAACGGCCTGCTGGTACCTGACATGCACCATCCGAATGGCGCTGCATACGTTGACCAGCAGCAGCTGTACCAGCACCTTGCCCTGCCGCTGATAAACAACGCCTGGAAAGGATACAACGTTTCACTGTTTACCTACGGACAGACCGGCTCGGGGAAATCCTTCACCATGATAGGCTACGGACCGAACAAAGGAATCGTCCCCCGAGTGTGCGAAGAGCTCTTCAACACTATTGAAAACCGAAAAGACCTCAACATCAACATTGAAGTGAGCCTTTCACTGCTGGAACTGTACTCTGAAGTAGTGCGAGACCTGCTTGATGCAGACCCTAGTTCGCGAGAAAAGAGAAAAGGCCTGAAAATTCGCGAACACCCAACAAAAGGATTCTTCGGTGAGTACAATGCCTCTTTAGCGATAAATTAATTACCGCCACTTTCTCTCTTTCTCTTGTTATTAGCTGAAGGATTGCAAAGCTTTCTCGTAACTTCGTATGGAGAATTGAGTGAAAAGATCGAACAAGGAGTCACTAATCGCAGCATTTCGGCAACGAACATGAATGAAACTTCATCACGATCGCACATGATTATTCTGATCAACATAAAGCAGCGCTTCCTGAACGCATCAGGACATGAGGAGACGAAAATGTCAACGATAAACTTGGTTGACTTGGCTGGAAGGTAACACACACCTTGGCACCTACCTTCATATGGATGCTGTTTACCAATGCGCTACCATTTCTTGCAGTGAACGATTAAGTGATCTGGCGGGAGGCAGAAACTCGGTGACGGGTGATCGGTTCAAGGAGAGCGTGGCAATCAATCAGTCTTTGTCCTGTCTGGGAAACTGCATTCACGCTCTTGCGGAGAAGGCGATGGGAAAGAATGTGAAAGTACCGTACAGAGAATCGGTGCTAACGAGGCTGCTAATGAATTCACTGGGTGGCAACAGCAAGACGGCGATGATTGCCAACATCAGTCCAGCTGATATCAACTACGACGAGACTCTGTCCACTTTGCGATATGGTATGCAGTTTCCACTTGATGTTTTGTCTGTTTTCATTCATACGTTTGTTTACCTTCACCAGCTGATCGAGCCAAACAAATACAGAATTTTGCAAAGATTAACACGGACTCTACAGAGAAAATTATTCGCGATCTAAAGGAGGAAAATGAAAAGTTAAAAAGATTGTTAGAGCAGGAAACTGCAATTAGTCAGAGCGCCTCACCAACCGAGTACTACGGTATGTTTAAATATATTGATTGTGTTTCGTGAGTAAGACCACCTTTCGTTTGTTAGATGAAGCAAAGGTGAAATTGGAAGAAGAAATTGAGGCCATTCTTCAAGAAAATGAACGCAAAATGAATGAACTGAAAGCTTCGTATGAAGATCGTTTAAAGGAAGAGAAAAGGACGCACACGCTGATGCAATTGGATGAAAGCAAGCGAAAACAGCTGGATCGCGAAAAAGACAACTGTCCACATTTGTCAAACCTCAACTTTGATGAACAGCTGATTGACAAGATCATCTTTCTGATCAAACCCGGCATAAACACAATTGGCAAAAGTGAAGAGTGCTCTATTCAGCTAATGGGACCGCTGATTCAGGAGCACCACGCAGTGATCAACCGAACCGACAGCAACAAAATCATCCTCGATCGTAGTGAAGATGACTGTCGAATTCTGCTGAATGGAGACCAAGTGACGCACAAGGTCAATCTAACGCACAATGACAGGTATTTTGCCTTTTTTCAGTATTGATTTTCTTTTAACCAGCTTCTCTCTCACAGACTCTTGTTCGGCACTTCTCAGTTGTTTGTCTTCAAGAACCCTNTTTTTTCTCTCACAGACTCTTGTTCGGCACTTCTCAGTTGTTTGTCTTCAAGAACCCTCTAGACAGAGACAATGACACTGGCTGGGGCAATGTGACATTCGAGCTGGCACAGGAGGAAATTGCCTCTAAAGCTGGGTACAGCTTCAACAATGAAGACCACTCGATAGAGCAGGCACTGCTCAATCAGGAGTTGCTCGAGTTAATTCCCTCAGTGGATGAGGCAAATGCAATTAGCGAGGAACTCGAGAAGATGGTTCACTTTGATATCATTCTCGTTTCGCCAATTTTCCTTGGCCGCATCGGCCGTAAGCCGGAGGTAATTCAATTGCAAGTTGGCAGAGTTTTACGGAAGACATTAAGTGCTGCTATTTAATCAAATCGTCTTTTGTCTTAATTTAGCCCTACGTAAAAGTGGTCAACTCAAACACTGGCCAGGAGTTTGAGTGGACCAGTCAAAAGTTTTTGGACAGGCTCTATTTGATGAAGGAGATGTACCACAACTATGAAACTGGCGAAGAAGAGTGGGATTTGCCTTTCGTAAGTTGGCATATACAGTTTGCTTGACATCACTTTTGTTGAACTTTTTTGCTGTCTTTTCAGGACCAAGACCCATTCATGGAGGACCTGCAGAGCGAGTGTCTAGTGGGCACTGCTCAACTTTATTTGCAGCCGTTGGCGTACAGAGTTGAACTGAAAGAGCAACTTTCATTGACTGACTTTAGCGGTCAAGAGATTGGCATTATCAATTTAGAAGTGATACCCTGTAACGAGCACGGAAATGAGTACCAAGAGCACGACGACGTTTACGTGGATAGTCCTCAAGAACTGCTCGGAAAGCCATTTAACTTTATTGTAAAGATTCTCGGCTGTCGAGGACTGCCACCAAAGTTCACGGTTGGTTAATTTAATTTCTTTTATTGATTTGTTCGCCACTAACTGTTTACCTTTAGGACATTTATGTTCGCTTTCGCGTATTTGTCGACGAGCAATACTCAGTTTCAGAAAAAGTGTCTACCTCAGTGAATCCAAATATGAATTTCCGAAAACTGTTTCGCTTTTCCCATGCTACACAGCAACTAATTGAGTACCTAAAGGACGGAATTCTCAATATTGAGGTTTTGGGAAGGCAACTACTAAAGTCAGGTTACTCGATTCCGAAAAACTTGGGCCAAGACAAAGCACCAAATCAGCAAATGCTCCAAGAAGAGCTAGCCAAGCACGGTTACGAGTTGATGAATGGCTTCAAAATGAATGGCAGAGTGATTGACCCGAACAAGCAGAGCATCATTGTCGAGCTGCTGTTGATGAAGAAGCAGCAGGCGAGAATGCACCAGCGAATTGTAAGTAATGCAATGTTTGCATTTACTATTAACCAAGCATTTATACCTTTCAGGACAACATTAAGAAGCTAATTGATATTGCAGAGAAGCAAAAACGGCGACTCATTCCAGTGCCCCTTCTAAAAGAGCTCATCTTCACCACCACCTCTGAGTCAGCAGACTCAATTCTCTCGCAGATGCTCAATGGTAGGTGGCAATGGTTAGTTGCGCTTTCTCTCTTTCTCTTTTCCCCATTTCATTAATCCAATCTTTCTTTCGTAGATGACCACTATCTGGGAAAAGACATGACCAGTTCGGCGACTTGTTCCATTTCTTAACAAATTAAAATATACAAAAGTTAACTGTTATATAATGTGGAGATAATTGTTTTTTACAGAGAGAAATTCAAAGGTGTGAAAGGCGAAACAGTTTTTAGAGTTTAGAGGGAGAGAGTGAAATAGTAAAATAAAGTGTAGATAATGTTAGGGTAAAATTGAAAATTATAAAAGTTTGCCAATCGTGCAAAAGTATAGAGATAATGTGAAATAGAAATTGTTGTGTGAAATATGCCAAAGCAGCTGATTTAAAATAAGCAGTTTTAGCCGCTTTGATTAAAATTCAACGGGCACCAAGGCTTGGTGTGACCTGTATCATAGCATCTGAAGCACAGCAGTTTCTTGATGTTGGGGCAGTGCTCCCTGTCGTGGTCAGTACACTTGCAGTACTTGCAAAAGGGGATCGAATAACCTTGACGAAGCGCCACCGGCATGCAGGAGAACAAATTACTTGGTCGCTCAGCTCTTTTCATATTGAGATGCTGTATTGTTTTCATCAGATTGACCTTCTTGGTGTGCTGAGCGACAATCTCTGCCTCAAGAAGAGCGACGAGATTCTCCAGATTGATCCCATTTGGAAGAAACCCGTACATTGAGAGAAAATGTTCACGAAAATTCAGCGATAACTTGCTAAACGCCATGTTAAAAATGTTGAAATGCAGGTGGGTGTCTTTCGGGTAACGGGATAGTTCATATTTGGCCCGAGCCGTAACGCGAAGCAGTTCTTTGATTCCTTCCACATCGACACCGCTCTCCACCACTTTGAGGCCAGCAAACGATTTCTCAAAGAACTGTCGTAGTTCGAAGCGCCAATCGAAAGTATCTTCAGCATATACAGTTCGAGCATTTGGAAGCAAACGACGCTTGGGTAGAGTCGAAAAATTGAAAAACGACAAAGTTTCATCATTTTTTTGAATCGGTTCTATTTTGTTTGAAGAAATAGAATCGTTTTTCAAATCACTTTTAGAACCACCGTTTTCTTTCCCTTCTTCAGAGCTGTTACTGCCCTTTTCCAGCATGCTGTCTTTACCAGAGTCTTCCGATTCAGATAAACTTTTTTGCGAAGAGCTTGCAGAATTGTAAAAGCGATACCACATCGAGACGACTTTGTCACGAGCCTCATCAGCCAAGTTCTTTGCGGAATCCGGATAAAGAGCAATCATGTCTTCGAATTGAGCCAACTTCTTTTCGATGAGGATGTTAGTGCTGGAGTTTGACATCTCAAAGAAAAGATTTATAATTTTCTCAATGTTTGCAAGGCGAAGCGATATTTCGCTGGTTTTATTTGTGTCAGACATGATGTCAAAGTTTCAGAACCATACAATTTAGAAGTAGTCACAAAGAAGATGCGANGGCAAGGCGAAGCGATATTTCGCTGGTTTTATTTGTGTCAGACATGGTGTCAAAGTTTCAGAACCAGACAATTTAGAAGTAGTCACAAAGAAGATGCGATCGCGAGGAGAGTGGGAGCGCAAATGAAAGATCAGTTCTATTTGTCAAAGTGATGTGTGGAGAAGACCAGTTTCGATTTTCATTGACGCATGCTCTCAATGACTCATTTGCGCATCATCATTTTCACCAAAAAAAGATGACTGTAAAATTACCAATATTACGGAATTGTTAGTCATTTTCGAAATTTTTAAACTGCACAAAAAGTGATTCATTTACGTTTCACTGCATCTTTTTCTAGAATGGCTTCTTCCAAGACAAGCACGAGCAAGTTTGTCACACCCACCGCTGATGACTGGGCGCCAATCAACGAGTCAATAGACCTTCTGCCGTTGCCGCCCTCTAAGGATGCCTGGCTAAACGATCCGGAAAACTGGGAAATTGTGGACGACGCTATAGTGCAGCTAGATGACCGCAGTGGTGTTCCCTGGTACCACCTGAACGAGGACAATGATGGCTGCCTGCAGTGTCCCCTCACGCGAAACGTGTTTCACCTGCAATCTGGGCTGCTTTTCGTCCACCAGGTTCGTATGAGCTTTGACGAGTCGACTAAGAAGGTTCTGATGGCAGAGCCAGGTCCTTCAGACCCAAAGAAGAAGCCTGTCGAGGTGGAGATGGGCGACAACAAGGTCTACGATGCCAGCACTTTTCATGTCTACGAGCGCTGTCTGGCTCTCATTTGCAGCTCACCTTCAGTGAACGCTTGGAAGCTGTCTCGTTATCCAGTGGCCGCAACTCCATTTCCGCCCATTCGACGAGCTCAACCGGAGGAGCTGCCGAAGAAGTTTCGCCAGCAGTATGCCGCTCTTCTGGCAGCTGCCATCGGCTCTCCGGGAGGGGTGGTTCTGCCCCACCCTATTGTCGAATGTGCTGGCAAAAGTGAAGACGTCAAAGTCACTTCCAGCCAGAACAAGGAAGTTTCGGAGAAGAGCACTTTCTCCATGTAACTCTTATGGGAGTTTTCAGCGTATTACTCTACGCCTTTTTTCAAATTTTTCCAATCTCTTTTGGATTTTAATTTACCATTCATTTATTCGGCAGAGTTGTAACTTTTAAATTAAAGATGGCAGATGGCGCGACCATCTGGGTGTCTCACAAATTAAAAATAATCCGCAAATTCAAGAGAAACCAGAATGGACTGGTCACTGAAGCGAACGGTTACGAAAATAGAGAAACCCAAAGGAGAGTGAACATTTATTGCAAGTGTACAACAACAATTTACAAAGAGATCAAGGACAAGTGAAATCTGTGACGTTCTGAAGAAAGTATGAGAAAAAGAAAGGGAGGAAACAGGAACAGGCTTACGGTGTGCAGGTTACACTGTGCCACTGCAGGCAGATCACATGCGGAAGGCTGAAGTTCTGAGCGGTCACTTCAGCAGACTGCGCGACAAGTTCGTTGATTGCCACACTCCCCTCACTAACTGAGGGAGATGAAGTTGTCTCGGTCAAAGAAGCGAGATCGAAATGCATGGGAGGGAAGAGGAGGAGGAGGGGGACGAGGATTTGGATGAGGATGAGGGCGGGCCATTGAGTTGGTGGGCCTTGAAAAGTCCAGCGAACAGGCATCTCCGTCGTGGTACGCCGAGCTGAACCTCTCCATCGGCGAAGTGGGCTCCATCGAGGGTGGACAGTGCGCAAGACGCGAGTTGACCCTTAGCGGAAACAGACTGCCACGACCATTCGCCATTGAACTGGGGGTGTAGAGGGTGTTCGAGGCAGTCATACCGCCACTACCACCACCAGCACTACCGTTATACAAATGTCGCTCAAACTCGTATTTGTAGAGATGCTTAGGCGACTCGTAAAGATGCGATGATGGATTGCCGTTTCGAGCATAAGTAGAGGATGATCGATGAGGCGAAGGATAGATCTTCGGAGAGTCGAGCATCTTCGCCAGTGATATCTGCCCGGGCAGCGTGAGGAAGGTCTTGCTGGACTCGGAGAGTATGCTGATGGAATTGTCTCGCATTGAACTGGAGGAGGACAGGTCCTTGCTTGAGCAATGAGTGGGCGTCGATGAGTGCTGGTGCTGGCCGCTGCACTTGGCACAGGCCAAGTACACGTACTTCAGGCGGGCGAAGAGCAAAAACGACAGCGACAGGCCCACGTCAAGGCCGATCAGGCTGATTGATAGATTGGCCGAGCAGAGGGCCACCGTGTGCGGCACCAGAACACCGAACAAGTAGACGCAGGTAGCCAGACTCCACAGTGCACATTGCTGCCGTCTGCAAGGACGAAAGACAATGAGTTGGGCAAATAGTACTGATGAGCATGATTGAACACGTTCCCCTTCTCCACCGCGGACACGTACCCACTGCGGGAGACGTCTTTGACGTGCTTCTCAAAGAGTGTTGTTTGCAGAGTGATGCAGTGCAGGTTCGGGTACCCGTACTCGGAGAACACCTTCTGACTGCAGTGCAAGAAGGCAAAGCCAGCAATGGCCACCTAGTGATAGGAAAGAACTTGTCAGAACGAGGCAATCTTAGGCGCCCAATATGTTTTCCTACCGTTGACAGTTGAAGGAGTGGCGAGATGACAAGAAGAACACTGATCAGTCCAGTGGAGACAAGTTCTCCGAAAGCAGGCCAGCAAACACTGCTTGGCGCAGCTGAGAAGAGCAGTGCAAGCTGAATGGGCGCAAAGACTATGGCAGTTACCGTCTGTATCTGTCTGGTCTTGGTCATTGCGTGAAGACTGGTGGCGTAGTTTTTGCTCAGATAGATCTTTGAAGCAAGCACCGCGAGCAGTGTGTTCTGGAAAACAAACACCAAAAGCATCGAGGAGATTGTCTGCAGCTGAACGAGAACGAGAAAAAGCCCTGCCTGACACCAATGGGCAGTCTGTTCAGGCCAGAGAGCAGTGCTGAGCATACACAGCTCGAGAACGGTGCGACCGATGCAGGCGACGAGCATTGGTCCAAAGTTGTAGTCATTGAAGAAGCTTCGGTGACATCTAACATTCGCGAACAATGGAATGATGAAACAGGCGGAACTACACACAAAGAGAAGGTCACTGTTTACCTGGTCAGCAGCAGAACAATCCACATGTAGGCAATGAGAGCGGCAGTAAAGATGCTGCCATTGCCTCGATACGGCAGAAGCGTCAGCATGTAGCCAGTCTGCGGAAAAGAGTATAAAGAGAAAGGCGATTATGTCGTGTTCGAGCCGATTACGATGGTCAGCACAGTCTCCTTTCTGTGAGCCGCACCAAAATTATGGCTAATTTGAGTTCTGCTTTGCTCTGTTTACTTGCTAGCTGTCGTCGGGAAGGAAGCGGTAAATGGGATATTTGCACGTCTATATTAATTGAATGTGCATGCGATCTATGGGCACGATGATGGAGCTGTTCGTGTCTTGTCTGTCCGCTGAAGCATGAACTGAACTGAACAGAAAAGTGCACTGTCTGTCTGTGTCTGTGTGGGCACGATGGCCATGCTCCGACTAATGACAAGGCAAACATACGTCCGATTTGTTGGCTACGGAGTGCTGCTGCCTCTGCTGGTGATGTTGCTGTTCAGCGGCCAGCAGGCTGCAAGTGGACACCGAGCCACAA